TTAAGAACTCAGAACTTGATGCCAGTTACTGGAAATGGAACAACTCCGAGGTGGATTTAGGTAAACCACTGCACACTGAATTGTGGCCACTGCCAGCAGAAACACCTTCAGAGATGTCTGTGTGTATCTGGATTTACCGAGGAAAAGAACACTTCTAAAACTCACACTTTTTCAGAGCCACAGAGTAGAACTGGCCTTCTTATAGTATCCAGCAGGCCAAGACCCAAAGTATCTGCTAGTGGGGGGAGGGCAGGAGGAGGGAAGCAAAATCCAGGAGTAGACAGGAAGCTACTCTGGTTGTAGACAAGTGCAAAACACTCAAAAGCCCCATGGCAGTGGGGTTTGGAACTACATGATGTTTAAGGTCCCTTCCAACCCAAACCATTCTATGATTCTATGATAAATATACAAGAGAGAAAAACACCATGAGGAACTATAATTTTTCTCTACAAAAGGCAATAATCATGGAGAACAAAACATTTGGGAAAGAGGAAGGAATTGTGCAAGCAGACATGACCTTCACATTACCAGAATTCCTGGATACTGACCTGGATATTGAAAATACCTTGCAAAATCAGCCTTGTGTGCAGAAAATTGTGCAAGAGCATCAGGCTACTCTTCCAGGTCTCAGCTGAGGCAGCTACAAGTGACAAGGACACAGAAGCTCTCCTGTCAAAGTAACATTGCTACTGGAAGGTTGAGACAAATCTGGAGGTGTAACTTAGTAGTAAGATGTGGGACCAGAACCCAGGCACGCTTAGCGGAACTAAGGTAACTTCATGGTGAGGGGAACACGTTAGAAGCCAGGTGACGCACAGAACCTGAAGAGCAGACCTAGCTGTGCAGGATCAACAATAAAAATTATCTTTGGCCTTGCCCTGCAGAGGATCAGGTTTGCTTGTCGCATGAGTGTAGCATCCTTGGACAGCAAGAGACTTCCAGACATTTAGTTCCACCCATCAGTTGCATTTTTGTTTTTTTAAGCAACCAACCCACTGGACGCTGTAGATCTTGGTGGCACTCGTGTATCAGATCTACGTTAGGAAGCTGGTAGCAAGCTGCTATTAGTCAGGGCCATAGCTCAAGCAGAACAAAACGTTACTGCTTGCTAGCAAACACCACAGCAATGCTGGATGGGACTGACCCATAGCTAAAGTCTTTTCGAGGAGGAAGGTAGATTGCCCTACCTCATAGTAAATGTGGCTGTAACCTAAATCCTTTGAGAGAACAAGTCTTCCATGAAGCCTGCCCTTTGCTGTTTCCAAACTTTCACCTATGGAGACTCAACAATGATTATCCTTCTTAATTACATTTCATACAAGTTCAAATCCAAGACAGGACACCACCTAATACTCAAATTTTGGAGTCCAACCTCCCAGAAATAGGTCAGTTTGGCCTTTCCAGTTCCTAACTGCCTATTTTTTGAGAACATCCTCCTGTCTACTCCATAATCGGAGTATTAAAAAAACACAACAAATGGAATTTACAAGTTACGCTAGTAACTTCACTCCTGCTAGGCTTTCAAGATGGGGAGGGAAGAGGGAAGAACAGTTTCCTATGCCAGCACTGGTTTAGCCTATCAAGTAGAAAAACCAATATTTACTCCAGAAAGAAGATTAGAGGTAGAAGAGTTGCCAGAAGAAGAGTCTCACGGTTTCAAATGGGAGTTGTAATCCATCTCGTCTCACCCAGCTATAGCTCAGTTACCACCGAGATTGAGCTTGTTTACTCCAAAGCAAAAAGCTTGGCATCTCTTACAGAAACAGCTCCTCTTGCCAGAGCTCTAATAGCAAACGTCTGTGGAAAAGCCACTTGGAGAAGTGCTGTTTACCTTGGTAATGAAGCAAGTTCCCTGGAATGAAGTCTTGCAATCTTCCCATGGGATGTTGCAATCCATTTACCTGCACCTCAGCCACAAACCATACAGGCTGCTCTCAGTCTGAGCTACTAAGTCAGGAGGCCAAGGTAAATGCATCTCATCTGCTCCAGGCAGGACTACGCTCCCCTCCTTCACTAGGTATAGAACTTGGGTCCTAACTGAACCCGCTTGCTCTTTTTTCCTCTGCTTCAAGCTAACAGACAACCAGCAACACCTCTTGGAGACACTTTTGAGAAGAGACTTTCAAAACTATGTTCTCTATCATCTTCACAACTTCAGCTTTAAAGCCAAACTCAACCCCTTGATGCTCACCATCTTAAGCAACTCCAAACTGAGCCCAGCTCACTGCTGGAAGTGTGCATAGAGGGAACACCAGCACAGAGCCAGACAAGTAAATACCTGGGGAGGAAAAGAAATTCAAGGTAGACTCTGGAAGGCAAAGCTCCCTTTCTCTTTAGGGAGTCACTGGCCTGAGGCTATGCTGCTTCTCCTCATTTAAGACTTGAGTTTCTAGCTGCTGTCCAAATTCTCTTTGAGCAGAGAGATGAAAGGGCTCTTCAACATTCCCAGCTCTAGAGTCCAGTGCAAAGGGCTGCTCATTTCCTCAAATTCAGTTGGAAGTTTTGCTTCCAACCAGCTGCCTCACTTAAGCCCTCCCTAATCCAGTAACTTAAGATTCCTTTGGAGTTGAGTTAAATAGACTTCCTACCGACATGGGTACTTGCATTTGGACATTTTGTTTACAAACAACTTGCACTCCTGTTAGAGCACCGAGCTCGTACTTCACAGGGCTGGAGTTCTTCACAGACCTACTTTGCGCTGCTAAGTGTTGAGGTTCCTGCTTGAGCAGAAACCAAGCTCTAATTTCAAGTGTTTACATGTACTCGTGAGAGCAAGAAAGAAAATCTTACCATGATTAGATTATGTAAAAAGTTTAATTATAAAATAAATAAGTTTGTTATGGAAACATTAAATATTAAATACAGTAATAAATATTTACACATTTACAGATATGACTTGACAATTAATGGTGTTTCTCTGCTACCAGAAGAATTCTGCTCTGTTTATACAGAACACATTCACACTTCCAAGAAGAAAATGAACTCCAATAATACTCTGTGCTCAAGACTGCATAGACAGCTCAAGAAATCAAGGACACTGGGGTCAGAGAAGTTTGAGGTAAGTAGAGTTCTTCGCACCAGAAGGTAGAGCACAAGAGACCACTGCTTGCAGAGTGTCAGTGCATCAATTTAATTCTTCAAAGGAACAGGTTCTTGGTCAAGTTCAACTGACAGTATCTGATGTGAAGCGTTTTACACACTAAGTGCTGCTTAAAGCAGCATTGCATATCTGGGTAACAGAAGTAGCTTTGTGTTTATAAACACATGGGTCCAGGCTTATCAGCTTGTTTGAGCATGGATCTTTTCCCTCAGATACAGAGCTTCAGATCTTGCATTTACTGTCTCAGCACCCCGAGGAGACTAATTTTAGCTCAGGCTAGCACACACGCAAATGGATAGCTCCACTCACACAACAAGTCCTACTGAATTCAGAGGGATTACTTTCCACCCATACAGTAACAGAACCCAGGCGTGGCTGACAAAGATCTGTCACCAACACCCTGCAAGTCAGAACTAGAGATGAAGTTCTTTGAAGCCGATATCAACAGGGAGCACAGTGACAGCAGAATTAGGTTTTTCATCCACTGAGGTTTAGGGAGAAAAGCCATCCAGAGCTCTTCTCTTTTTAACTTTAGGAGAGGGAAGGGAATTTTCTTCCCACCATCCATTCCTGAAGGCCGCAACAAGCTCTCTTCCCTTAGGGTTAGAGCTGCCGAAAGAGACTTGCTAACAGAAGAAAGTCCATCCACACAACAGCAGAGACTGGAGCTCCAGCACTGATAGAGAGGGGTCAGTAGCAGTAGTCTCTAGTAGGTCTTGATAGCAGATCCTCTACCCCATAGTAGCAGCTCCTTCCATATCCTTGTGCCAAGATGTAGCCATAACTGTCCTCCCCAGCAAGCAATTCAGCAGCAAGTGGCACGGTGACATCTCCTTGCAGCAGCCTCTGTCTTGATGAATCAGGGCTTAGTGGCAACAGCTCCAGCCCACAGTGTCCAGGTGGCTGTGTCAGGTAGCCAGAGGTACCCTGCAGCTTGGCAGTCAGAACTGTTCTGTAAGGGGCAGACCAGGCACATTAATCACCACCAAAGACACAAGCACTGCGCTAGAACTGCATCAAACCCACGCCCGAGGTGGGTAGGCGAAGTGCGTACACACACCTGAGGACGCTCTGCAGCTTCCAGCGAGCTTTGAGCAAAACATTCCAATTGTCACCGGACAAAGCTTGGAGAGGGTCTGTAGCTGACATGTGGCAAACCCAAAACTTCTGAGTTCTGCCAGAACTTCTCAGGAGTATCCTTTCTAGTTTGCTCCTTCAGCTTGTAGTACAACTCCTGTACAACAAGGGTCCTCGAGTCTGCTGTTAGTCTCTTCTGAGCAAAAAGCATTCCTAACTTGCTTGCTCATTAAAATCCACTAAACTGCTGGGAGATATGATCCACCTAGACCAAGAAACTTTAGCACTCAGTTGCTATGACAGGATGAAGCTTGACTGAGAAGCTATCTAGAGTGCTCACAGAACTGGCAGCTTTGTCTTGGTCTACAGCTTCTAAGCACCAGAAACTTCCTGACACCTTGCAGAGAAGACAGGAAACTTCAAAATTCAGTACTTCTCTTATGAGGGGTGAAGATCCACGTGGCTGCTGTACTGTGTTCCACGATGGAAGCCTACCATGCTTTCTTGCAATAAACCTGCCTCTGCCCAGATATTAGTGGGTTTTTTTCCCCTTCATAAGTGCACTTAGCACATTACAGCTTCCTATCCTCACTCTTCTTTAACACAGCAGCCAGAAAGCTAAAAGCCAATGCTGAAGAACTCGCAAAACTCAGGTAATTTTGGGAAACAAGAAAACCAAGCCAGACATGCACATGTAACTTATTGTTTCCAGGCACTTCAAGCATTAGAAGCAAATGCTCAGTTGGTAATACATGCATGCAATCCTCATTAACTCAGCCTGGAAGGCATTTCAAGTCAGCTTTCATACCTGCTTTCTCTTCATTTACACGCCAACATGGTTGTTTCTGTTTTCTTGTCGAAGTTTTTTCCTTTCTTCTTTCTCTTCATACTGAGGACACTTTTTCCTGACCCTGTGGAATTACGACATGTTAGAAGTAATTTTGAACACTGACGTACATCCCCCACATCCTCCACAGCATTCCAATTCATTTCTTTTGAATCCTGAAGAAACTCCTCAGCACCATGAAGTTTCAAGCAAGACAGTTTTAAGCATTCAGCATCATGCAGCATCCAATGACAGCATCAGGAAGGCCCTGCATTAGGCACTGGCAGTTCTGCCTCCCAGCACCAGGGTTTGCTGGTTTACACCTGAACAGGTAGCAAGATAAAGAGGGCTGAGCAAAGCACTGAGAGACTTTCTGGGGGACAGATTTCCTGGTGGCTTGAGTGAACAGCTGCAGAGACCAGGCTGCCTTCCTCCTCCCCTCAGCACAGCCCTGTGGACTTCAAATACTTGCAAGTCCCTGTCCCTTGAACACAACATAAGCAAGCTGCTTATTGATTTTCTCCCAGTTTCTCCAGTCTTTTCTAGTAACTGTTCAAACAGACCACCTAGCTTATCTGGATGAAGGTACAGATTAACAAACATCATGCTTCACACCTGTGAAGGTTCAGAGCATGAAACAAATGCAATCCAGCTCCACGGCTTGCTCCAGAAACAAATAATGATCATTTCCTCTTGCAGCACCACAGAACTGGTTCTCTCTCCTAGCAGAGAGGAATGAGGTAGTGTTCAGAGAACAAGCGTTCATCCCAGCATTCCTCAAGTTCAGATCTAAACATGAAGCAAGAGCGAAGTGACAAATGCACACTTTGTTTCCTGAATTGCAGGAAAGGGTACAGCACGTACCCAATTCAGTTATGTACTTCAAGATCTAAAATTAGAAAGAACTTTTGAGTTTCACCTACAATATCCCAAGCCCTACTGCGGTGGAGCTGCAGTGTCAGAAAACACTCAGGAAACACCAAAGTCAGGCTCCCTGTGCTGACAAGCCTCAGCACAAACTCCTGGCAAACACATTGACAAGATGCAAAGGCACAGGCAGGCATAAGATGCTGCATACTGCTTATTAGCAGGTACAAAGATGACTTCGATCTAAGGCCTGAAACCTGTACCCAGAAAAGCTCTAAGTTTATTCACAACAGGCTGCCAGATTCTGATTACCCACCACCCTGAACCACCAGCAGTTGGCTAGGCTGGAATGGCTGTTCCCTCCCTCTTAACAGCAAGCATCAGAGTATTTGGGACTGGCAACACTTGCTCCCCCATTTGCTTTCCCCCCCGTAAGTACTGAAGCCCAGCAACCTCCATTAACAAATGGACAGTCACAGCACCATTTCCTCCCCTCCAGCTGCACACCCAGTTGTGGGATAATAGCCATGCATTAGGCTGTTACATTACTGCTTGCAGGCTTCTCCACAAGGATTAGGGAAGGCACTGCTGTGTCAGCATTAGTGTTGCTGATGTTCCACAGCACTAACTATCCTGGCTGCAGCAAGAGCCAAAAGGCTCTTGTTTTAATATATAAGGGTCACAGGCTGCCCACAGCCAATAGCAAGAGATTGGGAACACTTCACTTGCAAGGTCTGAGAAGTTTGTTTCTACCCTCAAGACATATCTGAGTTGAGATAAGAACACAGCCCTTTTGGATGTCTTCCACACAGGGGATTCAGATAAGCCATGCACATTTTGGGGCTACAAACCCCATCCAAGCTAGACAGATGAAGAATGTAATACTTACTGCACTATCACAATGATAAGTACAGTAATGAAGCTGATGCTGGAGAGCAGGACAGCTACCACTACCAACACAGTCTTCGAGTAGTCTGCCACATCATTCTTCCTTTGAGTCTTCATGAACTGTTCACCACAGCGCTCACCAAAAAAATCCTGATGACACCTGCAAGTAAACATTAACACAAGTTCTTATCAGTGTCGATGCTGTCTGGAGCCAAGGACACCCACACACATTCAGACCTGACTTAAGAGATCTTTAGAGTTGCCCGTGAATCTCAAGATGCTCCCTTTCGAGCGTGTTCATGAAATGCAGTCACTGCTCTAGCACAAGGTTTGTCAGCATTTCAACAAGTCGAGATTAGTTTGGGCGTGATGTTCCAGGAAGACACGCCTTTTCATTCTTTTGGTTTGAGTTTATAACCAACTGATGAGTTCAGTGGCTTGTTATGCATCTCGGATTCCATCATCACTTAATTTACATGGCAGAAAGATTCTCAGTCAAAATACAGCAGGAGAGGGATCTGTGCCAGGCTGACAGCGACTTTTTGTCCGAGGCCTCATACGCCACCGGCTCACACTAATCACACCTAACTCACAAGGTACAAGCGACTTACTTGCAGGTCACCATCTGGAGATGCTCTAGGTATATGCATTCACCATGGATGCAAAAGTTTTTGTATTCCATTTCACAGGGAGTCCCTTTCTTCTTGTTTTTCCCTTTGTTTTTCTTTCTTCTTGATTTGCCAGCATTCTTCTCACCCCCCCTCTTTGTTGGCTTGGGTTTAACCACAGGTGCAACTGAAAAAAGGACAAGATAACTCAGTCTAGAAATGCTAAAAAGCTCAATTCCATGTAAACTGAATTACAGAATTTAGTGAGGAGCAGGGGGATGGTCACTGCAGGAGAACTTGTGACCAAGAAGCATAGGATGCAAGCGAGCTTGCAGGTGGGCATTTCACACCCAGCACAAAGGCAGCCAGCTTAGAAATTCATTAAGTGCAACTCCACCACCATCAAGTCCTGCGTAACACAGACCAAAAGCGGTATGAGCAGATGAGCCGAGAGAGGCAGAGATGAAGAACAGAGGTGAAGGACTGCAGCATTTCACAGCATTAGATACTTGAGTGGAACCGCGCAGGTTCAAGCAAAGACCTGTAAAGAACATTGAGTTCACACTAGTTTTAGGCATCCACTAGTTTTATATCAACTTAGACACACAGCTAACTGCCTCCTTCGCTCCAAACTCCCCATTTGCATCAGTGATGAAAGGCATTATAACTCACTAGATAGTCCTGGGCACTTGCAGAGGCAAGAGCTTGCTATCCCAGTTCGCATACTTGTTTCTCCCAAATAACCTGCAGTGCTGTCTTCAGCAGAAGATAGTTTGCTTCCAGTCCTCCTACCTTGACAGAGATGCCAAGCGCACCAAAGGAGTGAGAGCAGGATAGTCTGTGAGAGTCAGGTTATTTGTTTTGCGCTTACTGTTGCCCCTCATTATCTCAATTAAGACAAACCTCTAGAAGAGCATGGTTTAACACACTGGTGACTTAGCAGCCTTTGGATCTAAACAAGGGCAATCATCTTCCCTTTGCTGGGGAGAACAAGCTAAAGCCAGTCACTAAGGGTCAGAAGCTCTGTAGCTGCTCCATGCAGCAGTCAAAACTGGATAGCATAGTTTTACCAGGTATTTTACTCTAAAACACTGGTTCTCTGAAGAAACCATCCCCTTACTGCTAGCTGTAAAACAAGTCTTCTCAGTGCAACACTTACAGCAGTAACAGTTACCAGGTGAGTTTGAACACATCTTAAGAACAGTAGAGCTATTTACAATAATCTTCCATTTCTCTATTGTGCTCTTCAGACCTAACAAAAGTAATTTTTGGAGTATTAAGATTTTATCCAGAACACTATGCATACAGGCAATTGCCACAATAGGCTGCAACTTGATCCAACTACTTCATAACCCTGTATTTCTAGTGACAAGAAGTGATCCTGGACAAAGAAACAAGGTGTAGTTCACAGTTGTCTAGACAGCTGATTGTTTTAACTTCTAGAGCAACAAGCCTGGCTTGAAGTTACTTAAAAGCAAAAATGCCTTCAGCAACCAGAAGTCCAAATCAAATGGTATAAGCTATATTAATATGTAAACAAGGAACACTGTTCCTGCAGCAAGGTTTCCTGTCCCTGGAAGTGTGAGCTTACTGCTGACAGATGAGGCCCCTGTTCTGTCCTGTTCAACCTGATATTGAGGTTCACACTTTCATAATTGAGGCTGTTTTCATTCTTCCTTCTTCAAGGTTCAGCCTGTTGGTTTGATCTCCATGTCGCTGTCTGCAAGCTGCATAGCCAGGAAAGCCATTTGCAGTTGAATCACAACAGCTTGAAGGCTCCACAGATAAACCTCATGCCAAGTAGAAGAGCTGGTCTACAAACCAGCCACCTTTGGTAACAATTCTGGTTTCTGTGCAGTTATACAATACACAAAGTCACCAAGCCAGTAGTTTTACAGGCTTAACTTCTCAATAACTCCGACATTCCTGTTTCCCCTGAAGGTCTTCGACTCACAAAAAACTTCATCAAGGGTCCACAAACCCCCCAGACTGAATATCTGGAGCATGGTCTCCCTTCCCTGAAGAGACCCTTTAGTCTCATTCAAGTCCCAGGGCATTTCCACAAGGAAAATAGTAGCCAGACCCACCCTAGAGGGCAACAGCCTATTAACAGCTACTGAAGTGCAAATCACTTGCAGATACCTGGCTTGTATTACGGTTGCACTTAGGCCAAAACCAACAAAACCCTGCCATCCCCATAGTCAGGTGGGCTAGTCACATCTCCCCACAGCTTACAAATAGACCGGTTACAGTGAATTCACACAGCAGCTATTGACAGTGGACTATTGCCTGAAAGATGCTTAACCAACTTCCCTGAAGCCACTTGTGAGGTTTGTGTTTGCTTTCCCAGGAAATTTTAGTCAACTCCAACCCAAATAAGCCATCACGAGAAAACACTCATGAAAACCTTGAAGCAAGAAAGCCAACCTGAGGCAAAACCTACCTTTAAAGCCAAAGAGCACCCATAAAGCCGCTGAGGCTCCTGTAGGAAGCAGGCGGCAGCTGCCCCATCACAGGTGTATCGCAGGGGAGCAGTACAGCACCCAGCCCACCAACCTGCAGCTCCCACACGCTCTAGTTGCACTAGCGCCGTTTTCATCCCCGACAGCCTATTTTTAACGCGGCAGTTTCAAGCAGAAGCATGCTTTTTCTCCCCACTCTACGAGCGAAGCACGG